CCCCCACAAGCCCCTGCCTGCAGCCACACTTACGGTTTCCCTCCAGCAATGGTGGGGAGTGAAGATGAGATGGTGGAAGCCCTCAGGTGAGGGTGCGACTCAAAAGCCACCTGCACAAAGCAAAGGGCACAGGATGGCCCAAGCGCCCAGGAGGGGACAGGGAGGCTGGGGTCTCACCTTCCCCCCACATGCCCCGCGACAGGGCCAGCCCAGCTCTGCACAGGGTCCCTGCTTGCTGCTACTCCACATGCAAGTGACAAAGGCCAAAAGGGGCTCCCAAAGACACAGCCACGCACCAGTGGGACCAGTGGGGGCTTCTCTGAAGCTCAGCAGCTTCCACTGGCCCCACAACCCAGCCACCTCCAGCAGTGAGCCCCTCCTATGGCTGCACCCCCAGCTTGAGCTCATTGCAGCAGTGCAGGTACCACAGGTCAGGGACGCTGGATGCCCGGGACAGCGGGGGACGGGTGGCAGAGCCCACACATGCCGGCAGAGTGGGCCTGTCCCTCGGCGACTTACCATCGGGGACCGGCCGTACATGACGGTGCTGCTGACCTGCGGCGAGAGGTGGATGCCCATGTACATGCTGGGGGCTGGGAGCTCCCCGTTGAGGGTGGCGTGGGGCACCATCCCGAAGGAGGACGTGTAGGGGCCGGACAAACTCAGCGGGCTGCGGAGAGCTGTAGGAGGAGAGACCTGCTCGTTGGCCCGGCCGGCGGGTGTGAGCGAGCATCACCCGAGGGAAAGGGGCATCTGGCAGGAGCCAGGCAGCGGCGGCGGCGTCACCGCTGCACCGGGCCCAGCCATGCCTGGCACAACCCAGGGGATCAGGAGGAGGACAGGCAGGTTACGGCTTGGGAGCCAAAGACCAAAGGAGAGGGGCAGCCCTCGAGTCCCAGTGGTCAGGGACATGGGATGGGAGATCAAATGGCTCCGTCCCCCCAGAGGATGCACAGGGACCCGCTGCTAACCCACAGCAACCCTCACCACTGTGAGCTCACCCTCACTGCCAAGCCCTCGTCACTCTTGGCCAGGCCAAATTATTTGCAGTTGATGGCTGAGTGGCAACACCTCCAGGGTTTCGATGGTTTATTGAAATCAATTCCAATTCAATTCTTGCTAAACCGCTGTAATTTTCTGGCCAGGCAAGGGTTTAACATCTCCAGTCCTGGCTCTATTTCTCCCTTGGGCTAGCTGTCCTCCCCCCATCACCTTCGGGTCCCTCTGGCTAGACAGTGGCCAAGATGTTCCAGAGACCTCTTCCCAAGGCTTCCTTCAATGTCTTCAAGGAAACTGAGGCAGGAAAAGGGGGCATGGCCAGTTCACCATCAGCCACCAAAGAGGCCACTACCGAGAGCTCACCTGCCTCCTCTCTGCTTTCAGGAGAAGGTGGTCCCCATTGACAGGGGCTCCTGGGTCGGCTGGATCTCACCCAGAGTCTCTGCAGCACCCAGCGCTTGCAGATCCTCCCCCCCATGGAGATCCTCAACCCTATGGAGATCCTCAACCCTATGGAGGATCCTCACCCGCGCGGGGAGGCTGGCCACGTCATGGCCTCCTGCATCCCTGTGTGCCAGTGGTGGCACTTGGCCCCCCCTCCTGCCCCTGTAGCCAAGCCCTGAAGTGTGGGACTTCACAGGGCAACACCAAAATGATAACTTGTCAGAGAAAAATTATCATCTCCAGGCAAACACCCTACCCTCCCCCCCCGCCCCAAATGCCCGTAGCAGAGTTCCGCACATCGACACAGCGCCTCCAGGGGGTCTGAGCCCCCCCAGGGAAGCATCAGGAGCTGGGTCCATGG